GTTGCATCTAGATGGCAGCTTGCTAGCTTTTAAGATCCCAGTCGCTACTCACCAAAGTAGGAGGTGGAACAATGGTTTGTATAGTATGTTATGCCAATTGAGCTTGGTGTCCCCTGCAACTATGGTCCCATTGGGCTGTTATTCTTGATCCTTCTCCCTGCTTGTGAAGTTAGAGGTCAGATGTCCACATTTTTACATTTACAGAAACAGAACTCCAGGTGTTTCTTCCACAGTACCACTGGATGGGTTAAATCTGCCAACCTTTATGTTAGTAGATGAGCACAAACCTTTTGCACCATCCAGGGACCTAACCCATCTCAGCATTATATAAATGGCATCGCTTCTATGTGATCTTGGGGTATGGCATCTTTTGCTCTGTTATGTTTGTGAGATTGCCCTGGAGCAGCAGTACATTCCTTTGTACTGTTATTTAGTATTCTATGGCATGATGATCCCCCAAGTTTTTATCCATCCTCTTGTTGATGGACATTTGGGTTGTCTCCAGTTTAGGGCTACAAATATCTGGCACAAGCCTTTGGGTGGCCATAAGCATCCACTTTTTGCCTCATGGCCAGAGTATCAGCCTCTCAGTTCCTCTACTTGGCCCTTTCTGAGCATGGAGGCTGCACACAGGCTGTGGAGCAGTGGTTGGAAGAAGGCACTACTGGCCTGAGGCCCCCGCAAATAGGCAGCATCTCTGAGGATGAGGATGATACTCCTAACTGTGACCTGAATTTGGCTCTAAGCTTCCAGGTGGTCACAATGAAAAGAGAAACACATTTCATGAACTAGTCCTCATTCCAAGAGGAGAAAACATACTGAACTTTCCCTGGGAGATGACTGTAAAAGAAGGTTCTCATGTATGGGTGATATTCATAAAGCACTACTGATAAAACAAAGAACCAAACTCACTGCCGTCAAGTCAGATCCAACTCATAGCAAACCCTCCTCAGATTTCTGAGGTGGTATCTCTACAGAAGGAATCATAAAATTATTGGCTCCCTTAAGTTTTTTTTTTTTTTTTTCTTGCAGTGGCTTCTGAAGAAAGCTAAAGGCACAGTCCGAAGTGCAGCTGAGCTAGCAGGCAAGAACTTCTGTAGGAACCAAAGATATCTGTGCTAAGCACAACTCTCCCCATTCATTTGTATCTCTACAGAAGGAATCATAAAATTATTGGCTCCCTTAAGTTTCTTTTTTTTTTTTTTTTCTTGCAGTGGCTTCTGAAGAAAGCTAAAGGCACAGTCCGAAGTGCAGCTGAGCTAGCAGGCAAGAACTTCTGCAGGAACCAAAGATATCTGTGCTAAGCACAACTCTCCCCATTCATTTGTATACATTAAAGAAGAGAAAGCTTTATATACATATATATATATATATA